AGCAGTGCTTGGCAGGGGGCGGCTAGACCTAGCAGAGCCCAGCAGGGGCCAGCAGGGCATAGCACGGCGTCGCAGTGGCTCGCAAGGCTCAGTGGGGCAAGACGTAGCAATGAATTGCAGGGGTGGAGCAGAGCTTAGAAGTAATTGTATTAGAAGTGGCTCCGTTCCCCATAAGGGCGAAATCGAAGTGTTCCCGTATCTAGTACGATTATATTCCAGGTGTTCCATCCTTCTTGGAGTTCCATTACAGGTGTGTCCATTCCCTTTGGGGTATATTTGAGGTGAAGCTGACGCTGCGCGCAATGCAATTACCCCTGACCCCGCTTATGACAGGATCCCAGCAGAGCTGGTTCGTTCCATCTCTCGTGGTTTCAATCAGAGCGGAATATGTTTTGTCTGGTTGTTATTTGATGTTGCCCCAGCTTCGGTCAACTTCTCAGAGAGGTGGATCCGATTCTCACAGGATTGCATTCGCAATTGGCTCATCCCTGATCATATGATATGCGGTGCGGCTCCGCATGGCTTGCGAGGCATCGCGTGGGTTAGCATGTTACCGAACTGCTGGCAACACTTCGCATTTCGAACAGGTTTTCGCAATGTCATGCGCTAGCCGGGCCCGGTCGGGCTTACAAGGCTTAGCTGGGCCGGACAGGTGGCCAGCAGTAAATATCAGGGCGTCGTAAAACGCCACAGTGGTCAGCAGTGCCTACCAGGGCGCAGCTAGGCCTAGCCGTGTTCGCAGAGGCCAACAAGGCCCGGCACGGCATCGCAGTGGCTAGTCACACAAGGATCGCACCTAATACGACTATAACGAAGATGGGCCCATCCGTATTTGGACTGTGCCAGAGGTTGCCCAATCCCTGAAAACGATTGTGTTAGAAGGTGCAACAACACCAGTGGGAAGATAGTAGGGTGTCTCTATCCCCGATAGGGTATTAGAGGTTGCACCACCCCCTGTAGGAGTCGATCAGAGGTGGATCCATCCCGCAGGTGCCCCCATCCTTGATAGTATTATGTTAGAGGCCGCCCCATCTGCCAAAGGACTGCTTAAGAGGGGTGAAGAGTCCACATCCAAAAAAATGACACTGGCATGAGCTAGCCCTTGATAGGGCGTTATTACAGGTGGCCCCATTCCCATGAGGATTCTTAACGAGAAAAAGCGAAAGAGAGAGCGAGAGAGAGAGAGAGAGAGAGAGAGAGAGAGAGAGAGAGAGAGAGAGAGAGAGAGAGAGAGAGAGAGAGAGAGATAGAGAGAGACAAGCGAACGAGAGAGAGAGAGAGAAAGAGAGAGAGATAAACAAAGAAAGAGAGAGAGAGAGAGAGAGGGAGAGAGAGAAAGAGAGAGAGAGAGAGAGAGCGAGATAGAGAGAGAGAGAGAGAGAGAGCGAGAGAGAGAGACAGATGGAAAGAGAGAAAGACAGAGAGAGAGAGAGAGAAACCATATGCTACATATGTATATATATATATATATATATAGAGAGAGAGAGAGAGAGAAAAAGAGAGAGAGAGAGAGAGAAAACAACAGAGATTGAGAGAAAGAGAAGAGAAAAGGAGAGAGAGAGGGGGAACAAACAAAAAAAGAAGAGAGAGAGACAGAGAGAGAAGAGAGAGAGGAGAGAGAGAGAGAGAGAAATAAACAAAAAACACAGAGAGAGGAACCTTGCCAATACTCCCTTATTTCCCTTCCACGGAGGAGGGGGCGTGGAGGGGGGAGAAAGTGGGGGGTGGGGGGGGGTGGGGGGGGGGATGAGGGCGGGGGGTGGGTGGGGGTGGGGTGGGGGTCAAGCTGCCCTCCCGCCTGCAAGCCGTCTAGCTCACTCCCACACGCCCTCCCTGCACAAAAAAAGACCCCTAGCAGGTGCATGTTCAGCGGTCGCCGTCGGATGGGTAGCTCTTGAGAACCAAAGCCGGCCCCAGGTGCGCGACGCTTGGGCGGGGTGCGCCACGCGTGCCAGGGGCGCCGCGCGTGCCAGGCACCCCTGGGACCCGAGCGTGCCAGGCACGCCTGGTGCGCCTGATGCGCCACGTGTTCCGAGTGCGCCAGGCGTTCCGCATTCCAGTCGCGCCAGGTGCGCCGCGTTCGGGGTGCGTGCAGAGTGCGTCAGGTGCGCCCGCGCACGTGACAGCACACATCGGGAAACATGTCGGCCCCCGCCATCCTTGTGGAAAACCGATGCCCATCATTGTGTCTGGTTGGCCCGCGCACAGCAGGCCACGCGCCACCACCCCCGCCGTCCCTGTCAAAACCACTTTGCTTTTATCGCGGGTTAGCCGCGAGGTGCATGTTGTATTGTTTTTTGTGTGGGATGGTCGCCCTGCGCAAAGCAGGGGATCTGCAGACACACCCGCCGCTTTTGTCCACAGCAGTTCAATGTGCTCGCGGGCTTCACGAACATGACCCGAGAATTTGCCCCAATCGTTTTGTCGACAGGGATTGTGTGGGGGGGCATCGGTATGGCCGCGCATGCTACACATGTGGAGGCAGCGTGAGGTTTTCATTGTTTCTTGTCAGGGATGGTGGGGGGCGGTTTGGTATGGTGTCGCCATGTTTTCGGGTTGGCCCCCGGTTGCCTGGGGGAGGGGGTGTCTACCAACAAGGAACTGTGATTGGGGGCGGGGGGGGGGAAGGAGTGGGGGTGGCGGTGGCGATGGGGGTGGGGTGGGGCGTGTGTCAAGTTAGCCAGCTCGAGCGAGCCAGAGTGCTCCGTCCACTCCCACCCGCCCTCCCACAACATAAGAAGGAAGTGCGTTATTTCGTGGGCGGCTAGACGTTCAGCGCGCGATATGATCTGCATCGTACTCCTGCCGCGTATTGAGCAACGTCGACGAGAAACAAGACCGCGCGCGATGTACGCCGCGCCCCGCTCAGGCCTCTCATGGTGCACCGTCGGCGACAACATGTCCAGCGCGCGAAGTGCGCCGCGTCTCATGTCAGCCACGTGTGTTGTACCGCCAATCGTTTCGCTCCTGCCGCGCATGGAACAATGGGAGGAGGAGGAGGAGGAGGAGGAGGAGGAGGAGGAGGAGGAGGAGGAGGAGGAGGAAGAAATGGAGGAGGGGAAGGAGAGATGGAGGGAGGGATACAACTGAGGAGGAAGAGGAGAATGGTTCTTGGGAAACCGCGCGGCGTCCCATGCCCGCTACGCGATTCGCAGCGCCGACGAGGAGAAAATACAGGTTGGCAAGCGTCCCATGTTTGCGATCCTATTCGCAACGTCGACCACAACAAATGTCCATGTTGACGAGAAAATCGTTGATTTTGCATTGCTTGTGGATGGGTACGACGCGACCACCCGCCGAGGGTTACCCAAACGATGCCCATTCCGTCGTATTTGTGCTGCACGATTCGCAACTCGACGACGTGTTGGCGAGAACAAGTTGAGTTTGTGTTGTGTTGTTGATGGTTAGGACGACGGGGTTGCGATCGGCCGGCTAGGTGGGGATGTGGGGGTGTTTAATCATAGGACGTAAGGGTGTGGGGGGGGGTCGGGGGAGGGAAGGTGGAGGTGGGGGCGAGGGTGGAGAGGGGGGGGGCCGGGGGCAAGCGACCTGGTGGAGGGGGGGAGTCGGGGGCAGGCGACCCACCCGCCCACATGCCGTCGAGTTCGCTCCCACCCGCCCTCCCTGCACAAAAGCAATACCACCTGAGCCTGAACAGGTTCAGCGGTTGTCTTTGGATGGGCAGTTCTTGAAAACCAAAGCCGGCCCCAGGTGCGCGACGTTTGGGCGAGGTGCGCCACGCGTGCGAGGGGCGCCACGCGCGCCAGGCACCCCTGGGACCCGAGCGTGCCAGGCACGCCTGGTGCGCCTGATGCGCCACGTGTTCCGAGTGCTCCAGGTGTGCACTCCAGCCGCGCCAGGTGCGCCGCGTTCGGGGTGCGTGCAGAGTGCGTCAGGTGCGCCCGCGCACGTGACAGCACACATCGGGAAACATGTCGGCCCCCGCCACCCTTCTGGAAAACCGATGCCCATCATTGTGTCTGGTGGGCCTGCGCACGGCAGGCCACGCGCCACCACCCCCGCCCGTCCCTGTCAAAGACCACTTGGCAGTGATCGTGGGACGGCCGCGCACGATCCAGATTTAGCCGCGAGGTGCATGTTGTATTGTTTTTATGTTTGGGATGGTAGCCCTGCGCAAAGCAGGGGATCTGCAGACACACCCGCCGCTTTTGTCCAAAGCAATTCAATGTGCTCGCGGGCCTCACGAACATGACCCGAGAATTTGCCCCAACATGTATTTTGAATTGTTGTTTGACAGGGATGGTGGGGGTGGCGCACCGGGTTGGCCGCGCATGCTACACATGTGGAGGCAGCGTGAGGTTTGCACTCCTTCTTGACAGGGATGGTGGGGGGCGGGCTGGCATGGTGTCGGCATAGTTTCTTGTTGGACGCTGGTCGCCTGGGGGAGGGGGTGTCGTGTATATATTGAAGGAGCAGTCATCGGGCGGGAATGACTGTGGGAAGGGGGGGAGGGGTTGGGGGGCGGAGGGGGGCGGTGGTGGGGTGGATGTTGGTGTGGGTGTGGGTGTGGGTGTGGGCGTGGGCGTGGGCGTGTGTATGTGTGCGTTACTTGTGCAGAGGATGGAGGGGGGGGGCGGCGGGAGCCCCCGCGCTCGGGGGAGGAGGGGCAAGAATCGAGGAGTGGAGCATCACGAGCAGGAAAAGCGGGGAGGAAATGGAGGGAGACTCAGTCCTGCGAAGGAAGAGGGGGAGAGGAGCGTGAGGAGGAGCAGGAGAAGCAGGAAGGATGAGCAGGAGTTGGAGGAGGAGGAGGAGGAGGAGGCTAAGAGGACGGGACAAAAGTACAAGCAAGAGGCGGGAGGTGCACCAGGCGTTGGAGGAGGATGAAAAGAAGAGGTCAGAGGAAGGAGGAGAGACGAGGATGGGGGAGCTGCAGGATTCAGGGCAGTTGGATGATGAGCTGGCGGAGCAAGACGGGACGGGGGAGCAGGATGAGCGGGAGGAGGGGGATGTAGGGAGCAGACGGGGGATCGGGCGAGGTCTCCGCGGGACCCTTCGCGGCGCGCGCTGGCGTCAAGTTCGGAGGCGGATTCGAGAACGGGATTCCCGTTGTGCACGCGGGTCCCGTCAGCTGCATCGTCATGTGAGCTGCCGTCTTTGTCGGGAGGAGGAGGAGGAGGAGGAGGAGGAGGAGGAGGAGGAGGAGGAGAGGAGAAGAGGAGGAGAAGGACAGAGGTTAGAACCATCTTTTCAAGGTGGTCGCTATGATGTGCTTGTTGCATTAGGCATTTTAGGCAGCACAGCTTTGCTCGACAGTTTGCTGCAGAGCTTTTTCCGACATCAGGCGCTGGACGCTGCATCACCGCCGGGAGTTGTTGTTTTGATAATGGGGTGCGTACCAGAGGACGTTAAAGAGGAGGAGGTAGGCGAGGCGGAGGAACAGCAGGGGGGGATAGCAGTGATAAGCAGGAGGGGCACGAGGGGAGGAGCGGGGCGATGAGGAGCAGGGTGAGGAGACGGCGGCCATCGGCAATGTGGTCCAGGTGGCGCCGATTGTTCAGAATGAGCTTGCGAAGACTATGGTGAAACGGATGATGGGAACTCAGGGGAGCATCGGTTAGACGGGGAGAGAAGGATTCGGGGGCTCAGGGTCGCGTGCAGAAGTAAAACAGCGGGGGGATGCAGAAGAGGAGAAGGAGGAGCCCTAATGGAGGAGAACAGGGAGGGGGACGAGGAGGATGCAGTTTCTTCCAGATGCCCGTCGCACAGACGATGATGAATGCGTGTTGCACTAGGCCGCACGCTTGTAATTTGCAAGCTTGGGGTAGAGAATTCCTTGCATGCTGCGCCAGGCGCTGTTCTCGAGCTAGCCGCCACATCGCGTTTTGAGTCGAGTACGAGCGGGTGGGCGTTGATGCGGGTCACGGGGGACGAGGAAGAGGAGGAGCAGGAGGAGGAGGAGGAGGAGGAGGAGGGAGGAGGAGGAGGAGGAGGAGGAGGAGGGGGGGAGGACGATGAGTGGGAGTGGGGGACGACAAGTCGGAGGAGGAGGATCATCGGGTGGAGTAGAAGGAGGAGGAGGAGGGGAAGTGGTGGAGGCGGAGAAATGGAGGGGAAAGACGGGAAAGTGTGTGGCAATGTAGAACGAGTGCGCGATCAGAAGATTTGGGGCCGAGCTCCTTTTTTAACGCGGTTAGCAGTACGGGACTGCGCTGTTTATAAGTTTGCGGCCACATCGCATGTTGTTTCGAGTATGACGAGGTGGCCGTGGATAAGGATCAAAGCGGTCGAGGGAGAGGAGGAGCAGGATGAGGCGGATTAGTATGATAGGAATGAGGGAGGGCAAGCATAAGGATGAGGATTGGGTGGAGGAAGAGCAGTAGTTGGTGCGGGGCTGCCATTGCCATAGCGGTTTCGGGCCACAGCCTAGTTCCGCCTTACAGTCCTCTATTGCGCCATTATGCTGTGTTTTTCGATCCTCTGTCTTCGCCCTTCTTCGTTTCTCGAGTCCACTTGCATCCTGGGTACTATTTATCCCTATTCGCTCTTAGACCGCCTGGGGCCTGGCGAGGGCCCCACCAAGAGGTCGAACATGCTCGAAAGCCTCCCGTCGTGGTTGCCATGGGGAAGCCAGCCATGGTGACGAGGGGCCTCGCCGACGCCAGGAAGGGGCGACCAACGAATAGAAGCACGGATGTCCGAGCCTCCCAGTCCAACCTCCCTCTAGAACCTCCTTTGTCCGCCCCTCTCCTCTCTTTGCCCATCCGCTGTGCTGCCGCCACCCCTATGGCGATACTGGCACCGTCCGCTCTTCAGGTGGCCCCGCCCGTGGGGCCAGAGGAAGGCGACCTCTGCCGCAACCTCGCTCCCATCCTCAGGGGCAACGTTGGGGTGGGACAGGCTCAGAGTTCGGTCGGGCGTGCCCCTCTACGGGGGGAACCCTCCACAACAGTCAAAAACAACAAGTCGGGGAACGATGTTTCTACTGCTCTTGACCATGTCTGATTTTTTGCTGAACCATGTTTTACTTTCCGTCCACAGGCCGGCTCAAATCTTGAACTGGGCTCCACAGCTGGACCTACGCACGCCAGCCCGGCGACGCCCAGGGCGCCCTAAGACCCGATGGGTTGACGATGTCAAACAACATGTGCTGACCACCCTTGGCCACGACGATTGGACACAGGTTGCGATGTTAGAAATGTGGGACCAACTGAAGGACGATTACATTAAGATGTGAGCGGGCCTCGGCCCTCCCGGCAGCTCCCTCGCGGAGCCTTGCGCCGGCTTCCGTTCCGTTCCGTTCCGTTCCACAGTCCGCCTGCAGGAGGGCACGCCCGACCTCGGCTCCGCGGAGGGCCGCACCGACCCCTCCCCCGGTCGCGCACTCCTGCCGCCGGGGGCGAGGCGCCCGATCGCCGACCCGCGCCCCCCGGAGCGGCGGGGCACGCGTCGCCCACCCCGGCGGCCGCGCGTCGCCGACGCGTGCTCGGCGCGCCCCCCCGCGCGGAGCCGGTGCTCCCCCCAACGTCACTCCTCGCTGGCTGACCCAGAGGGGGGTCCAGCTGAGAGGGGGGTCCTAAAACAGGGCTAGGATCGGGATGAATCGCTCCAGAGCGTTCCGGAGCGCTCTCAGAGCGTTCCGGAACGCTCTGGAGCGGCCGCGGCGCCCAATACATCCTCCAAACCCGCCGATTCTCAGAGACTTCGAGTTATCCCGATCCGATTTTGTCCCGATCTGCGTGTCGTTTTAGGGTCCAGCTGAGAGGGGGTGGTGCAATGGGTTTGGGGCTGAGGTATTGCAAGCACACTGCGCCAGAGAGTGGCATTGCACCGAATGGCAGCTGCCGTATGGCACGCGAGAGCCCGGCAATACATTTGCGCACAGGGATGTGCTGCACGCGCCAAAACTATTGCAACCCCACAAGTAAGTTGCGCCAGATCTATTGCACCAACCCCTTGTCTCTGGACACCCTTTTGGGTCAACCAGATCCTCTTAGCCAGTCTTCTCCCTCATCTGGAGTCCTAGCGGCAGCGAGATGTACAGTTCGTTTCCATCTCTCCGTCCGTGCATTTCTGGCGGCTGGCGTCGGCTGCGGCTGACCAACAGCGCCTCGCGTCAGCTTGCGATGGCATGTTAAATTGTGTACGCTTCGCGAGTCCCCGCCAGCCCATTCAGAAACCCTGGCCACGAGAGCTGACGGGAAATGGACAGCAGAGACGCATATAGTGAAACAGAGCGGTCAAAATTAGGAGGGGGAGGGTCGTGGTGAGCCATGTTGGAGGCTATCTTGGAGCATAGGATGCCTTCTTGGAGCTATGGGTTTTTGTTGGGGGGCGTCTTGGGGTCCTCTTCGGGCTCCTTTGGGGTATCTTGGGGCCTTCTTGGGGCTCTTTTGGGGGTCTTGTGATCCTCTTGGGGCTCTTTGGGGGCGTCTTTGGGCCCTCTTGGGGCCCTCTTGGGGCTGGCTTGTGGCTCTCCTGGGAGCTTCGGAGGGCCTCTTGGGGCTGTCGTGGAAGGTGTCGGTGAAAAGAAGGGGGTCCTAACGTTTGGTCCCCTCTCTGGGGCCATCAAAACAGCCTCTTGGGGCGCTCTTGGGGGCGTCTTGGGCCCTCCTTGGAGCTCTCTTGGGCCATCTTGGGGCCATCTTGAGGCCTCAAAAGAGCACCGGAAACGAAAAGGCGAGAAGGCCAAAATCATTTGTTTTCCGTCGGTGTTTGAAAGATGTTGGCTTCTCGGGGAGGTCCTGAGGGGTCTCCAAAAACACTTGGATCCGTCTTGTGGCCTTCTTGGGGCCTACTGGAGGCATGGTGTTAGCCATCTTGAGCCATGTTGGGCTATCTTGAGCGATCTTGGAGCCATATTGGGCTCTCTGAGGCCCTCTTGGAGACATCTTGGGCCGAAAAGGACTCTGAACGATCGCGCCCCCCCCCGTCCAGGTCCAGTTGAGGGGGTAGAGGGAGGGGTCAAGGTACCCACTCGCCCGCAAGCCGTCTAGCTTACTCTGTTCTGTTTTGTTCCGCAGCCCAAGAATCCCAAGTTCGGGCTGTGAGCTCAAGAAACCCAAGTTTCGCGGGACGTGAACTTCCCGCGAAAACTGGCGTGTCTATAAACATCCCTGCTGCTACTAATGTCTCATACGTCCATGTTCCTGCTTGGATAGTCCACTGGCCGATTATCCACGCGGATGCTGCGCAGCAGCCGTCTCGAAGGCCGCCGTCGGTCTGAATCACCAAGTTCGCACTCTCGACCAGCATACTCGCGCGACACCGTTATTCCCAGGATCTCCGGATGTCAGTCGTCGGGTCTGCGAGGCCGTCTGCAATCTTGTTTTGCTGTCGCGGCCACCATTGCACTGGGTCGTCAAACACTCGTGGCGGGGCCAATCCCAAGACCATACCGTGCACGATTCGCCCAAGGACCCGGGATAGCAATGGTTCGAAATGTTCATCCCTGAGGCGAGCATGACCGCCAATCAGTTGTTGGAGCATTTTGGAGCCATCTTGGGCTCTCTGAGGCCCTCTTGGAGCCATCTTGGGCCAAAAAGGACCCTCTGAGCGCTCGCGCCCCCCCCCCGTCCAGGTCCAGTTGAAGGGGTAGGGGGAGGGGTCAAGCTACCCACCCGCCCGCAAGCCGTCTAGCTCACTCCGACCCGCCATCCCAACACATCAGGAACACCCGAGCCTGAGCATGTTCAGCGGTCGTCTTTGGATGGACAGTTACTGGGAACCAAAGCCGATTCCAGGTGCGCGACGCTTGGGCGAGTTGCGCCACGCGTGCCATGGGGCGCCACGCGCGCCAGGCACCCCTTGGGCCCGAGCGTGCCAGGCACGCCTGGTACGCCAGATGTGCTACGTGCTCCGAGTGCGCCAGGTGTGCCGCACACTCCAGCCGCGCCAGGTGCGCCACGTTCGGGGCATCTGCAGAGTGCGTCAGGTGCGCCTGCGCACGTGACAGCACACATCGGGAAACCTGTCGGCCCCCACCATCCTCGTCGAAAACCAATGCCCATCATTGTTCCCGGAAAGGGCTCCGGCCCAGGGTTCTCTTTTTACTAGGTAAACTAGTCCCCCGGTGCCTGCTTGAAGGAGGCCGGCGAATTTTTTCCCTGATAAATAACGTGAGCATCGGGAAACCTGTCGGACCATCCTCGTCGAAAACCAATGGTTCCCGGAAAATACTAGGTAAACTAGTCCCCCGGTGCCTGCTTGAAGGAGGCCGGCGAATTTTTTCCCTGATAAATAACGAGCCGGCGAATTGCCGGCGAATTTTTTCCCTGGTAAATAACGAGCCGGCGAATTGCCGGCGAATTTTTTCCATGATAAATAACGAGCCGGCGAATTAAAATTTGAGGATGTCTCGAGCGAAACGCTTGTTTTTGAAATCCCGATCGATAAATCACAGGGTGCGGGCCACTTTTTCTCTCGAGCGAAACGCTTGCTCCGCAGAGTTTGCCGAGGATGTCTCGAGCGAAACGCTTGTTTTGCAGAGCCGACCGCGACGCGGAAAAGCGCCCCGCGCGAAGGAATTTCGATGATGTCTCGACTAATGACGATTTCCTGGAATTTTGGCAGGATGTCTCGAGCGAAATGCACGACCCCACCCTAGCACGACCATACCCCAGCACGACCACACCCCAGCACGACCAGACCCCAGCACGACCCCACCCCAGCACGACCCCACCCCAGCACGACCATACCCCAGCACGACCACACCCCAGCACGACCCGACCCCAGCACGACCCTACCCCAGCAAGACCACACCCCAGCACGACCACACCCCAGCACGACCTCACCACAGCACGACCACACCCCAGCACGACCACGCCCCAGCACGACCACGCCCCAGCACGACCACGCCCCAGCACGACCACCCCCCAGCACGACCACCCCCCCAGCACGACCACCCCCCAGCACGACACACCCCAGCACGACCACCCCAGCACGACCACACCCCAGCACGACCACACCCCAGCACGACCCGATCGATAAATCACAGGGTGCGGACCACCCCAGCACGACCACACCCCAGCACGACCCCACCCCAGCACGACCCCACCCACGACCACGCCCCAGCACGACCACACCCCAGCACGACCACACCCCAGCACGACCACACCCCAGCACGACCCACCCCAGCACTACCCCACCCTAGCACGACCACACCCCAGCACGACCACACCCCAGCACGACCCCACCCCAGCACGACCCCACCCCAGCACGACCACGCCCCAGCACGACCACACCCCAGCACGACCACACCCCAGCACGACCACACCCCAGCACGACCCCACCCCAGCAAGACCACACCCCAGCACGACCACACCCCAGCACGACCTCACCACAGCACGACCCCACCCCAGCACGACCACGCCCCAGCACGACCACGCCCCAGCACGACCACGCCCCAGCACGACCACCCCCCAGCACGACCACCCCCCTAGCACGACCACACCCCAGCACGACCACACCCCAGCACGACCACACCCCAGCACGACCACACCCCAACACGACCATACTCCAGCACGACCACACCCCAGCACGACCACACCCAGTCGCACCCCCGTGGAATGTTTCGTGGGGTGTCTGGTTGAGTGGTTGCCTGTTCGTGGGGTGTCTCGTGGAATGTTTCACGGGGTGTCTCGTGGAATGTTTCGTGAGGTGTCTCGTGGGTTGTTTCGTGAGGTGTCTCCTGGGATGTTTCGCGGGGTGTCTCGTGGGATGTTTCGTGAGGTGTCGCCCAGTTGGATATCGTGAAAACGTGACCATGCTGCACATGTCTATATCCCTTTCCGGGTTCGTGGGTCCATCATGTTTTTGGTGGGCCTGCTCACGGCAGGCCACGCGCCACCACCCCCGCCCGTCCCTGTCAAAAATCACTTGGCAGTTATCCTGGGGTGGCCGCGAATGGTCCAGATTTAGCCGCGAGATTGTCAGGGATGGTAGCC